TTGAACAAAAAATTTGATTTATGGAAGTGTAGTTTAGAGACTACCAGTAAATCACTAATATGATATGTATTCACCCTAATTCGTTTAAGGTGATGAAGGACTGATAGTAACATTTTCCCACAATGATATGTGTTGAACTGACGTTTCTGTTGAATTTCACAGAGCCTTGCTTTCCCAAAATTTGTTATCATCCAGACGCCAGTGGACTTCAGTTTCGACCTCGCGTCGGTCATATCAACACCCCCAGTGGGAGTCGAACCATAAAAGTGCAGCATGTGAACTTGACACGTCACCCACTCGGCCACATTGCAACGAGCGCCCTTGGGTCGCAGGGCAGATGTGAATTTCAAGGAAGGCCAGGCCTTTTCCCATGTCACATTCTTGGGTGGGATTATCGATGAAGCAAACGAATTTTTGCTATAACAATCGACTACGTTACTTATTTTTCGTATTTAAAAAAAGGCATAAGCGAGGTGAAAGGTATTCTAAATTTGGCAGAAATGCTGGAATGCACAAATCAAGGGTAGGGTATATAGTAAGACAAGCAGGCGAAATAAAAGGAAAAGGTAAAACGGAAGCAACTTGATGCAATTTGAAAGCCATCTTTAGTAGCACTACAATGATAGATTTATGCTATTTCAGCAGTAATATTTTAACCAGAAAACAGAGCATCTTGATTGCAACACAGGCACCAATGAAAAATCTCAACATTCAATGAATACTACTTAAGTAGACCTTTTTCGCAGGTGATTGCTCAATAAACAGGTGTTGATGCTTTCTATACTCTATTGCTTTGCTTTTACTACTTTCAGCTTATCCTGAGCTAATTTATTAAATTAAAAATGAAGAAAAAGTGTACCATCGTAAATATTTTATTAAGCTTATTAATTTGGATGTACCCAATTACATGATTCTATATGCTATAACGTTCATATGTCAACCTCGAAACCTGTGAGTGTGTCTGTTTCTGTATGTGCATGCGCCTATTTATGTTCGCTTATGCTCGAAACCAGTTGTGATGGCTCAAAGTAATTAGATACGAAGAGAAACTGGGTTTTGATGAATTCTCCTAAATAACATTGTTGGGGGGACTTTCATTTCGCATGAAAGTGCATGAAGAAGAGGTTCGTAGGTCGATCTCAACAGATGAGGAGGGATGAATCGCGTGGACTGCGTCAACGTGTACGTCGTCTAAAAGCCAAACGGCTGCCGTACAACGCGATTCATCCCTCCTCACCTGTTGAGATCGACCTACGAATCTCTTCTTCATGCACTTTCATACGAAATGAAAGTCCCCCCAAAAAAGTATTTAGGAAAGCAAACTTAGTGTTTGTTCTCAGCCATCAAGGTTTGATGAACACTATCCTCACAATTCTACATACATGTTATAATTGTTGTGCTTACTTCCATTTCGAGTAAAAATGTTTGGCGGAGAGATTCGAACTTTGATTCCACCAGCAGACGACGGCGGATGCCTCTTGACCAGCTGCCGATTTGCTTTACAAAGAATTCATGCTGACGCTGTTTCCGAGGCAATCTCCTTCGGTCAAGAGGAATCCGCCGTCGTCTTCTGGTGGAATCGACCTTCAAATCTCTTCACCAAACACTTTTACTCGAAATGGAAGTAAGCACAACAATTATGAAACAAGAGATTCCTCGAAACCCAACATTTCTTTGTATATACATGCGCAAGGTCGGACACTCGTCTGGTTTGGTTGATGAGCCTTTATTTTGTTTTTGGTCTCAATGCGAGAGAGAAAGAGTGAGCTAAAAGTACAGAGAAGTGACTATGATTAGAACCAAGACAAGAAAATTATAGTTGCGTCGTCTCCTTATTGCAGACGGCTCAACTTCCTCTCTTTCCTTCAGTCTATTAATTAAGAACAAATAATTTTTACTTATCTTCTTGACAGTATTCCTTAAATTTAAGCTATTTCCTATTCGGTTTATTTCGATGGCTTCTCTAATTTTACGTTTAGCCGCAGACAAGACAGAATCAGCAAAACGACAAGTTTGAGACCATTCAATTTAGTGTCCCGTTTCTGTCCTGAACTCAGCAAGCCCCGATTTCTGAATCCAACAGCCTTTGCAGCGCTTTTCTGCTCAGCCACTCTTTGTCTCTCCAACATAAAAGCGACAACAAGAACACAGTATCTGGTAGCAACCCGATCTTGATAATGGGTCAAATTTCTCTCCAAAATTCGGCATACGTGAAGAAAATGTCTTAGTTCCCCATTTCCTGACTTGTTCATCTCCCCTTTAAGAGAGAATGTACGATGTGTGTCTGACCTTGATCAATCAGAGTGATGGTTATAACATGTACGTAGAAAGGAGGAGATAGTGTACATCAAATCTTAATGGCCGATAACAAACATTACTTTTGGCCATCACTGCTGGTTTCGTCTACAAGCCAACACAAATAGGCACATACACATACAGAGACAGACACACTTACAGACTTTAAGCTTAGCTTTCACCGGAATCGAAGGAGATCCCCTCGGAAACAGCATCAACAAGAATCTTCCAGGAAAGCCAATCTACAGCTGGTCAAGAGGAACCCGCCGTCATCTTCCGGTGGAATTGATCTTGGAAACTTTTCACCAAATCCTTTCACTCGTAAGGGAAGTGGGCTCAACAAATATGGTTTTTCGCTCAAGCCAGCATTTGGAGATGCGCTTACAAGCGCTGGATTTAATTCTTCTCCTACTTGTCTCTCTGTGGCTAGAGCAAAGTGTACATAGAATGTAGTGAAAATAGTCAAAATGCCCATTTCTAAACGAGGTTGGCTGAAAGGCATGCGTCAGCGAGTAACACACTTCTCAGTTATATTAGTCTACACAAAATAAGAGATTTTGTCGGATGGTCGGG